AAAGGGTGGCCTGGCCTGGCTTCTTTCTCAGCCACACTACTCATCTGGTGGCATGGGGGAAGCTGGAATACAACATGATAAAACTTGTTTGCCAGAGTTGCCAAAGGTAAGTCTGTTTTGCTTCCTTGTTTGCAGCACCCTGACAAGGTCAGGTGGAAGCATCTGGCAATAAGTGACTCACTCAAGGCTGCCTGGTGAGTCAGCATCGAAGGCTGACAAGGCTTAGGAATGCTGATGGCTGGGTCTCACTGTCACCACAAGATCATGTTTTCCCCTGGTTGCCCTAGCAAAGCTGCTCTCAAGGGTGAGTACAGCACGGAACTATCTCCCATTATGAGGATTTCCCACTGCAATTCTTGGCAAAGCTGAATTGCTGCAGATTTATGAGCTTCCGTTCAGATCTTCTCTAATTCCTCTTTTGAAACCCCATTACCTCCATCTGTGTTGCCTTTTGCATCAATCAGCCATTTTTACTTGATGGGCTGTTTTTGTGGTTTGTTTCTTGCAAACTCCAATAGAATTTCACCAGCTGAATTTTATAGACTCCTTCATTATTCATATCTTGTGTGCAAACAAATGCAGCCTGCATGAGGAAAAAATACAAATCAGCATAATTTTGTTTTTCTAAGAAAGCAGAGAAGTTCTGTGTTCTACCCAAAGTAAAGCAGTTTCATTGCTAAAAGCAGTATTAACTGACAAAGATGGTAGTACTACAGCAAAATGAGTCAGAAACATTGCCCAGAAAATCTTCTTCCTGCCCCAGAACTGATTATTTTGCAGCTTCCATTTCAATGGCATTCAGTGGCTGCAGGTTAAATTCAGTTTGATGCTGAAGAATGACCAAATTTAAACCTTAAATTTTCCCTCCCTAATTAAGGGGGAAGAAGGTCTTTCCTCACCATCTAGCATGGCTCCTTGACAGAGCTTTAAACTAGACTAGAAGTGGGAAGTGGATAATGTCAGGCTTGCCTGTGACAAGCTGTGGGATGACACACCAAGGTTAGAAGGACAGAGTGCTAGCAAGGGCCTCAGCCAGCTCTGAAAGGTGCTGTCTACACTGCAGCCGACTTGAAGTCTTACCAAGATGAACCAGGGGCTCCTGGAGTGATAGAAACCAACAGGGAAATATCTCAGAGGAATTAAGGGGTGTTCCTCTAAGAAGGTGACATGGCCAACAGCCCAGCTGAAGTGTCTCTGCACCAACACACTCAGCATGGGCAACAAACAGGAAGAGCTGGAAGCCACCATGCTGCTAGAAAGCTACGACCTAGTTGCCATTACTGAAACTTGGTGGGATGAGTCCAGTGACTGAAGTGTGGCTATTGATGGCTACAGGCTGTTCAGAAGGGACAGGAGAGGAAGGAGAGGCAGAGGGGTTCCCCTCTGCATCAAGAGATGGATAGAACATGAAGAGCTATCTCTGAAGAATATCCATGAGCAAGTTGAAAGCCTGCAGGTGAGAATCAGAGACAAAGGCAAGAAAAGGAACCTCATGGTCAGCGTCTGCTACAGGTCACCTGACCAAGGGGAGCCTACTGATGAAGCTTTCCTTCTCTAGCTACAGGAGGCACTGTGCTCACAGGCTCTTGTCCTGCTGACTTCAACCCCCCCAAATCTGCCGGGAAAGTAGCACAGTGAGTAGCAATCCAGGAGATTCCCGGAATGCATGGAAGATAACTTCATGAGACAGGTAATAGACAGCCCTACCAGAGGGGATGAGATACTGGATCTGATGGTTACCAAAGCAAGAGAGCTAATCAAGGATGTCAAGACTGGAGGCAGCCTGGTCTGAAGTGATCATGCACTGGTGGAGTTCGCAGTCCAGAGGGATATGTGTCGGATAAAGAATAAAATCAGGACCCTGAATGTTACCAAAGCAAAATTCCAGCTGTTCAAGGAGTTAGTCAATATGACCCCCTGGGAAACTGCCCTCAAAGACAAGGGAGCAGAACAGAACTGGCAGATCTTTAAGGATGCTTTCCAAAGAGCACAAGAGCTCTTGATCCCTTGATGTAAGAAATCAAGAAAGGAAGGCAAAAGATCGGCACAGCTGAGTCAAGACCTACTGGTAAAACTAAAATGCAAGAAGGAAATGCACAGGCAGTTGAAACAGGGATAGATATCCTGGGAAGAGTAGAGATAGGCAGTCCAGTTGTGTAGGGATGGGGTTAGGAAGGCCAAGGTGCAGATGGAGCTGAACTTGGTGATGAATGAAAAGAATAACAAGAAGGGCTTCTACAGATACTTTAGCCAGAAAAGGAAGATCACAGAAAATGTACTCCAATGAGCAGGACTGGCAAACGGGTAACTGGAGAAGGCTGAGATAGACAACAACTTTTTGCCTCAGACTGCCCTGGCAACCTCTCTTTCCACACTTCTTGAGTGGATGGACTGCAAGATGAGGACTGGGGGAGCAAAGTGCCCCATCACCGCACATAAAGATCAGGTTCATGACCACCTGAATGTACATAAGTCCATGGGACCTGATGAGATACAACCCAGAGTCCTGAGGTAATTGGCTGATGTAGTTGCCAAGCCACTCTTCGTGATATCTGAAAAGTCATGGCAGTCAGATGAAGTCCCATCTGACTGGAAAACATTGTACCCATCTTTAAAAAGGGTAGAAAGGAGGACCCTGGGAACTACTGACCTGTCAGCCTCATCTCTATACCTGGGAAGATCATGAAACAGACCCTCTTAGAAGCTATGCTAAGGTGGAGGACAGGGAGGTGATTTGGGACAGCCACAACAGCTTAACCAAGGGCAAGTCCTGTCTGACCAACCTAGTGGCCTTCTACAATGGAGTGACTACACCAGTGGACAAGGGAAGATCTACAGATGTCATCTGTCTGGACTTGTGTACAGCCTTTGACATGGTCCCCCCCAACATCCTTCCATTTAAATTGGAGAGAGAAGGATTTGATGGGTGGACTATTGGAGCAGGTCCAAAGGAAGGCCACCAAGATGATCAGAGGGCTGGAGCAGCTCTCCTACAAAGAAATGCTGAGAGAGCTGGGGCTGTTCAGCCTGGAGAAGAGAAGGCTTTGGCAAGACCTTATTGTAGCCTTTCAGTACGTAAAGGGGGCTTATAAGAAAGATGCAGACAAACCCTTTAGCAGGACTTGTTGCATAGGACAAGGGGTCATGGTTTTAAGCTAAAAGAGGGTATATACAGATATAAGGAAGAAAATTTTTACAATGAGGGTGCTGAAACACTGGAACAGGTTGTCCAGAGGGGTGGCAGATGCCTCATCTGTGGAAATATTCAAAGTCAAGTTGGATGAGGCTCTGGGCAATCTAATCTAGTTGAAGATGTCCTTTCTTATTGCAGGGACTAGACAGCCTTTAAAGGTCCCTTCCAACTCAAACTATTCTGTGGCTCTATGATCTGTTAGGACTGCCAAGGGCCTCCATGTTCTCTCTAGAGGTGATCAATCTCCAGTGACAGTTTGCAGAGGGACAGTGGATAATAATTTTGTCTTTATAAATCATGTGGTACAGGCAAGATGGATGAACAAGTATGTAGGTGGACGTCTTCTCAAATGTACATCGCCCAGGACCATTCTCTGTCAGTAAGGGCAGCTGGGATGGAGTTTAGCCCGTGCCTGTTGCATTTAATTCTCTTAACTTCTAAAACAGGGTATCTACTGGGAAGCGGTCCTTGATTGTGCTAGCTGCCAAATCACTTGGAATAGCACTAGTCACTGCAGGCCAAACCCTCAGGCCAGGCGCCATTCAACAAATGAGCAGTGTTGATGACCAAGGCTCAGCTGCCGGGGGAGTTCCTGCCACCATCTAATTAATAAATACAGCAGGAGGGGGAATTCCACAAAACTCTAACCTCAACTGTGCACCGGGCTAGGACGCTATACATGTACGCAGGGCTTGTTCTTATCCCTTCCTTAGAGGTTAGGGCCTTTTCCTCTGCACCAACTCACTTGCTAACTTTGAGGACTAAATTGGATCATTTCACTGGCCAGCACTGATCAAAATCAGCACGTGTGATGGCACACACTGAGAGGACTGTAAGCTGAAGTGTGCTGGTGCAGGTGAGGGCCTAAGCAGAGGGGCAAATTTCACAGGGTCAGCCAAATATTGTGCTTTTCTTAAAAGAAATCTTGACTGAATTACTGCCTATTTTCTGAATATGCAGAACTTGATCTATTCATCCAGCAAGTCACCTATCTGCTTATTTATGAGAGATCCTGACATCTAGAGTTAAAGAAAAAATATTATGTGATCACTTTTGAATTAATTTTGACTGATGGCTTTTCTGAAGGGTTTTTTGTCACCAAGCATTACATTGTACAAATACTCTTGGTCATCTCAGATTATGTGGAAGTTTTGACTTTTGACTGTGGCAACTTTAAACCACCTTGACAAAGAAGGTGCTTCTTTTTATTTCAGTTTACAGCACAGCAGTATGATCACAAAAGCTTCATTCTAGGGTCTTTTAGCCAGATTTGATCATGAACCGTAGCAAGGCATGTATTTCAAAACACAGCAGAAAACGTAATAGTGTTTTTGTCGTGTGTTTTAACAGTAAATGTTATTTATGATAACTATCTGGAAAAATAATGTCATTTAATGGTCATAGGAGTCACTCAGCATTCTGCAGAGCTGTCATCCCTTTTAGGAAAAAGTAAGTTGAGACTGAGGTAGAAATCCCAGCCAAAAAAGCTCCCTTTGAAGATGGCTGTGGAGCAGTACCATCACTGTACCCCTTTGATTATACCCTCATGACATAACCACATGGTCATTTGATAAGCACAACTTTAATGCATTTCTCTGTATGCCACATGAGTTTTGATTGCTTATCCATTATATTTCATATGAGTGGGGAAGGGGAGGGACCTATTTGACAAGTAGAGCCACTTCATGGGGGCATGACAAATCCAGCTTGAAAATGTCCAATATGATGTATGAATACATTTTTTTTCCTCAAGGACAACTCCCAGGCACAACAAGCCTGCTGAGGTTTGCTTTCACTCCTTAGCAGTGTCTTCTACAGATTTGCTTCTTTGTGCGACTGGTTTTTAAGGCCAGTTTTTCTCTTCCCATGCTCCTTGTGATACTGGAGCTATGGTAATTGATTCTAGCCAGGCCAACCCACATACCACCATCCCCACTGGAGGCTGTAGTGAATCCTTGTAGTTTTGCAAAACTTTGGTCCTTCTCCCTGTCTCTTCTTCCCATGGGTGAAGGAGAACTGGCACCACTGACAACCAGGACTGGCAATGCAGTGTTGAAGAAGAAATCTTGCCTTTGCTCTTCAAGCACAGAGTAATGTAGTCAATTTGGGTACATCCTTTCTATCCAGCTAATGCAGAGCATCAAGATTTTCACACCTAAACAAATGAAAGAAGTTAGTCAGAAGTCATCTACAGGCTCATCTAACAGAAATTGGGTCCTAACTTTGGCCTAGGCTGGATTCAAGACAACACATAGGATAGAAACAGTTTACATTCTAAGTCAGCCTAACCTAGGGAACCTCAGCTGGCAGCATTCCTCCTGCAACCGAGAAGCCAATTACTCAGCAGCCTTATGTTGGCACAGCCTTGAAGTCTGTCATATGATATAACCCAGCATAGGAACAGTGTCAGGCTGTTCACAAGAGTCACAGCATGGCCACCCTTGTGTAGTTAAATCGGTTTCCATCAGTACCTTTCAAGCAGACAACCATTCCTCTCCTCTGTGAGTCTGTGCTGATACTGTCAGCAATGAGATGCTGTTACTCTAACTTAGGGAAGTAACAAGAGTCCTGGTTGCACCAAAATAGTATAATCTGTTCCCTGCAAGATGCATCATCTGTGTATTGGTGTGAAACTGCACCTCTGTCATTTGGCCCTATTTTTTTTTTTTGCTTTCCCCCAAAAGCCAGTGCACTTTACAGCTTTATCCAGTTCCATATGTGGACACTACCAAACTGGACTTGTATGTCAGCAGTATGTCATTTACATAAAATTATTATAGTTCTCCACAACAGTATCATTGCCATCAGCTTATTCCCAAGTCTTGAGCAGAGCAAATGGAGTTAGTTACAAGTGAGTCCTATAATAGAAAGATGTTACAGTATTGTGTGAAGGGAAGAGCTCCAGGGACTTTCCTGTAGACTTTGGTTGAAATTACCAAACCACAACTGGCACAGTGGGTCAGCTACTTGCAGAGCTCCAGGGCTCCTGACAGATGAGAAGCTCTTGCTTCCTACCACACCCCACCATTTTCAGTTCCAGGACACTTCCTCCCTATTCTAACAGATGATGACCTGCTCCCCATTATACAAGCTTTTGTCAACTCTTGTCTAGACTAAAACAGTGCCATGTATATGAGCAAGAAGTCATGAGCCCTTAGGAAATTCCAGCAAGTACAAGGCTGCAACATTCCTTCTTACCAGAACAGATTAGGACAAGTACCTTCTCAGTGTTTTCATACAATGTTGTGTCCAGCCCAAGTCTATTGTCTCCAATGCAGTGGTGTGGGTCTCAAATTAATTTCAAGTTCCTGTGCAAAGACTGCGATGACCAGCTTTGCTCCTCGCTTGGAAGAGAACTTCTCATAGTGGCAAACCTCATCTTATGGGGAATGAACTCCCCTAGAGACCATGAACATTACAAGCCTGCATCTCTTGTGTCAAGTGCAAGACCTCTGCTTTAACCCTCACTTTTTCTACTGTATATAAATAGCAGCATGTGCATTTAAAACGAAACTTCTGCCAAAACAAAGAAGTGCACTGTAGGTGTGACTTGCAGCTTGGGGAAGGGATGGGAGAGAAAGCACATCACTCATGGTACAATTGTCATGATGTTCAGTGCATGGATTTCAATAAAACACACTAAAGAGCACCGCCAGTGCTGTGCTCAAATACATGTAATGTTAAGGTATGGTGACAAAGTTTTTTTCACATGTGCTGCAAAAAACCGTAAATCTTTGCATTTCAAGTACTACAAAGGCTTGAGCAAGCAAAATGATCCTCAATAGATACTCCCTTCAAATAATCTTTGAACTACAACCAGCATGCAGAAGGATCTATTTCATAATATCAAATATAAACAGTGATATAAAAGACAGATAGGAATGTGCAGAAGAGCAGCAGAAATGTTTTTTCTGACATAGTTCTGTGCACAAATTGTTATGCTCTCAGCTGTACAACCTGTGCGTCACAACATAATAAAATATTTCATGACCAAGAGGGAATAGATTTTATAAGATCCCTTTTATACCTCCATTGAAAAGGAGGCCTTGACAGACAGAAGTAAACATTATCCCATCACTAAAGCAGTTTAGTAAAGCTTGGATTCTGTTGATGAAGAAGGATTAGCAGGCAATGTCATTACATGTCAGGCTCAGGTTTGCCAGTTTTACACCACTGTCACTCTACAGGGACAATCTCCTCCGGCACAGCAGGGGTTACCAGATTCCTTCAGTACTTAGCACAAAAAGAGCCTAAGACTAAAGAAACCAGTTGACGAATAAATGCCGTGGCAGTAAGATATTGAAGGTCAAATTCTGAGCCTAGTCTATAGCTCTATTGTATTTGGATATCAAAGCAGATAGCTGAAGTATGCATGAGTGTGCATTCATTCACTGATAAGGGGTTACTGTAGTACATCTCCTGATCCTTTTTTCTCCCCAGCTCAGTACTTTCACCAGTGATGAGGTCCCCAGAAAGGTTACACTGATGTAGAATGATAAAGTCCCACTTAGATAATGATGAAAAGTGTTTCTAAAGATCTCAGTTTCCATATGGGCTCATACGTGAAACAATCCAAATTTTGCTGAGATCTTATCCAGAAGTGCTGGTTAAACCCAGCCTCTAAGAGTTGCTGAGCTGTGTGTACTAACATAAGGACTATTATAAGGGCATGCTTAAAAAATCAGGGCAAGTTCCAGCTGTTTCAGACTATCAGAAGTTAGTGTAAGCACCTGTAACTAAAAGCTACATTGCATTGGCTTTGCAGGGTGACTGGTGCACCACTGATGAGGCAAGCATTGAAACTGGCCACAGCCTCAGCATTTTATCCTCTCTGTTTCAGAGGCATATGAACCAACTGCTTTTGGGGAAATGCCCAAGTAGCTTGTTCTTTTCCGAGCTACGAGTGTGGTTAAACCACACTGAGCTGAAAAGGTAAAAATTTCACAAGTCTACAAAATGCTTTTCACTGTCACATGTAGAATTCACAACAGTATTTATGCTGGCTGAACAGACAAAATCTGATGTTGTGTGAGGTGATTATTTCTGGCCATGAACAGAACTTCCCAGGTCCGTATGCTTCAGGCATTTCTGCTAGAGCTGAAAGCAAATGTCTTATATCTCTGTTAAGCTGCAGAAGCTCCTTTGATAGCTCAAACAGACTTTACTGTTTTTAACCAAACCTGCATATTGTGCCTAATAGACAACACCACCTCTCTATTTATCTAGGTATTTTTAATTTATTAGAAGCAGTGCTTTATAATTAAAATACACAAAAGAACAGGATTAACTGGCAGAACATGAGCAGCCCAACAAAAACAAACAGGGCAAAATACCACATTTAATAATACTACTAATAATGAAAAATTACTTTACATTTAACACGCACATTTTATTTCCCAACCTTTTATCAAAGGGCTAAGGGTTTTTAGCATAGACTAATAGTTAATAAATTTGGTTTCAGGAAACTGAAAAAGCTTTGTCGTACACACACTCAAATGATCTTCCTCTCTTTAAACCAAGCAGACAGTTAATGCTAACCTCTTTGTCATTAATGTGTTCATCCATTCCTTATTTGAGGTTCTTCCTAAATCCTTTGACTTCTCCCTGAAGGTGATAATCCACTCTTTAATTTAAGAGTCATGTCTTATTGCATTAATTTTTGCATGAGCAAGAAGAAAACTGAAGCAATCAACCAAACCTGTACAGAGTAACACTAACCACAGTAACTCTTGATTAAATCTCATTTTAAAAGTAGAATTTGGCCAAAAGAAAATTAACATTTCAACAATAATTAATCACAGCATTAAAAACCCCAAACATTTGTCTTTTTATGTAATTCTAAGACTGTGCTCACCTGAAGTAAGAACTGCAAATGTGGCTTTGTTTTTTGACTGTTCAAATATGACATTGCTCTGACCATCGCTTGAACTCTTTTAACCCAGCTAAGGTGAAGATGTACAAGAAATAACACTACTGCCACTGGCTTTGGGTGTGTTTCAATCCAATTTTTCAGTGTTTCGACTGATCAGGGTAGCCTGCTGTTTGCAGGTTTTGCTCAGGAGAACCCTTACTGTATGTTCTTGTTAATTCCCAGCCAGGATTCAGCAGCCTGCATGAAAGGAGGTTTCATCTTGATATGGTTTTGTTGTATTATGCTGCTTGTATGCTAGGAACTGCTAATGAAAGAGGGCAGCTGAAGGAAGCCCCAAGATGAAATAAGAGAGAGGTGAGGGAAAAGTAATTTGGATGGCAACAGGTGGTTGAGGGTTTCAAGACTGGAAGATTCCTTCAGAAAAACTGGGGTGGATATGCCCCTTTACCATAGCCTCTAATTAAAATTGAAATGAAAGAACCCATGAGAGTAAGCCAAAGGTCAGAGAAGAAAGACTTATGAATATTCACTTCTCTGGAGCAGCTGAGGCTCACCTGCCAGGTACTTCATGGTCCCTTAATTGTTCAGCTGCTGGAGTGACCCTATCCTGGCCAGTCTGCCTTCTGTGCCTCCACGCAATGGGGAAGAAAACAAGGGGATGCAGATGCATACCTCCAGTTCCCATGTCAGTAGGGAGTCAGATTATGGCCAGAGGTCCTTCCCGTGCATTTTCACATAGGTAAATATTAACTGTAAGGAAAACAGCATCTGAGTTTTAGGCATGAAAAATTGGTATTGCATAGGCAAGTAATGCCACAGTAAGGTGGGCTTTATGTATTATTTATGTATTTTTACTTGATCAAGCTACATTTCTACAAACTGTGGCCATAACTGTGACAGTGACCTGCCATTAAGATGCAAACTCTAAAAAGATGTCCTGTACTTTCTAGAATTTGTTAAGAAATTACTGTACATAGCTCAATACAACAATTACTGCAATTTGTGCACAGGTTTGTTAACTAGTTGCATCCTTCAGTACACTAATGCATATAAATGGTGTGAGTGATAAAATAATTCCACGGTAACTTTTATGAAGTGTTTGAGATCTGCTTTGTAGCTAAGAAATATGAAAATTGGAAAAAGACAAGATGACAGCTGCAGAAGCATAAAAAAGTATGAGATTATTTAAGTCATTCATGTAGATCACTTGACTGTAATGGCAAATTAAATCATGCTGTTTTCCAAGATACACTCTTAGTCAAAACTGTGTATCTTCCAAAACA